GATTTCTGGTGGTTCAGAAGGGGATGTGTCTGTGCTGTAGATGGGAAGGGTGAAGCACATTTGCCCCGTTCCTCTGGGGCACCAGGACACCTGGGCCAACTCTGGGTTTCTCTTTCCAGCATGTCCTATTACTTCTTTTCCCAGGACACACAGCAGCCACACTCCAGGACTTGTCACCCGAGTTAGGAGGGAACCGTTCCCTTTCTGCTGCTGGTTGTGTTTCTGACCCCAGTGCCAGGTTTGCTGACACCTGGGGGGTCTGCACCTTGCACACACCAGGGTCCCCCCCTTGCCTATGCGAGTGTTGCAAACTTGTCCTGTGCTGAGTTCTTCTGAGCAGAGCTGGTCCCCTTACACTTGGGGGGATGTGTAGGGACCCTCAAGGCAGGCCAGGCTTCTGTGCTTGCAGGAATGTTCTCCTGCAGAGGGAACCCCAGTCAATGGGCTTCCAATAACACTGGGTGCTCCGTAAAATACTCCATGCTTGGTGGTTCTGTGGGCCCAGCAGAGCCAGCAGGAAGGAACAGCACTGTCCCAGCCCCTCGGGTCTCTTCCCAGGAGCTGCTTTTGGGAGTGGTGGTAAAAAGCTGCACCAGGGCAGCTGCAGAGCAGCACGTGTTCCCCTTCCCCTGGCTCTGCAGGGCTGCAGGGCAGAGAAGAGCCACATCCTGAGCTGTCGCGGCCTAATTTGCCACTGTTCACGTTCAGTGCTGCAGGATGGCTGGGGAGATATTCCAGGAAAGATTAGCTGCCTTTGAAAGACATGAAAAGGCACATTTCACTGTTGCTTCCTGTAGGTACATTTTAAGAGCTTAAAAAAAAAATATTTGAGAAGTTACCGTTATTCTAAAATTAGACCCAAGCCTGAGGGTTAGGAGAGCAGTGGAAAAGAGAAGGGCAATCCTCAGAATTCCAGCCAGGGGGTCACTGGGAGCAGCAGGAGAGCCAGAGGGAACCAGGGCATTCCCAAAGCACCAGTCTTAACTCAGCAGCCATGCAGACTGTGGCCCCAATACGGCATGAGGACAAATAGCAGCAGAAATAAGTAGCTGGGGAGAAATACCTGCAGTGTATGAGGGTGCTTTGCAGCTTTCTGCTGTGGGGAGAAGCCCCTGAGCCCCGGGCGTAGGGAACTGGCTCCTCTCCTGCCCTCCTGTGCTGTGTCCTGACCTGTGGCACATTCTGGGCACACATGTGCCGTTACTTGAGTAACCGCCTGAATAATTCACATCCAGATATATTTTCTGTTGCTTTCCATGGCTTGGAGCACCCTGGTCTAGTGGGAGGTGTCCCTGTCCATGGCAGGGGGTTGGAACTAGATGAGCTTTAAGGTCCCTTCCAGCCCAAGCCAGTCTGGGATTCCATGATTCCATGAAGAAGGAGCTGCAAGTTGAACTCTGGACTGCAGGCCAAGCTCCAAGCCCCATCCAACCTGGTCTTGAACACTTCCAGGGATGTGCTCTTCATCCATGAACCCATTTCTTAAGCTGTGAAACATGCAGTGTGTTGTCTTGCTGGTTCTTGTTGCTTCAATGGATTTCGTGCATTTATTGGTTAATTGATTTAAGTGTATCTTTGGATACACATGTTTCCAAGCATTAGCAGAGTGTAATCACTAAAATCCTGGATTAGATGGTGACTAGATTTAGTGAACAAAGTGCTAGCTGCAGTTCATTCAGTGCTTCTTGAGATGCCCTCTTTGGACCGTTCTCAGTCTTTGGGATTCAGGATAAAGTGGTAGATTTTACAATTGAACTTGGCATAAGAAGCCAAGGGAAGGTTTGAAGCCTTGTTTTCTGTTTCTTTTGCCTCTTTGAAAAGTTTGTCTCATTTAAACTGAGATACTGAAAAACAACTGGTGCTTTAACTGCACGTGGGCATGGAAGTGGATGCTGGAGCAGGGGCTGCTGAGAATACTTCAGTTCCTTTGCACAGCCTGAGGTTTGTAGCAGTCTGAGTTCTTACTATGCTGCAAGGGCCCGATGTGTCCTCTCAAAGTAATTAAAAATAACCATAAATAAGGAAGACATTTTATAGAAATTATGGGAAAAGCAGGAACTAAAAGTCAGTCATAGCAACAGAAAGTAAAGAAATGGTATTTGGTACAGAAGAAAAGTGATGGTCCTTGAAAGACCTTGACATCACTAGGCTCTCCCCTCTTCCCTGTGCCTTCAGCTGGAGGTGGCCCTGGCTTGAAAGCTGGGACATGAGATCTGGGGAGCTGCACAGCAAGTGGTTTTGATCTTGGCGGGGAGGAGGAGGAAGGCTTTCCTGCCCCAGGAGCAGCTCACCCATGGTCACCACCCTTCATCTCCCTTGGTGTGTGAATTGGGACCCCCATCCCCACCCTGCTGTGGTGGAAGAGCCCACTGTGCTCCCACCATGGCCACCCAGCTCCTCTGAGCCACAGAAACCACAGAGATGTCACTGTGGGCTCCACCAAGGTCCCCCAAAACCTCCCCCGACACCATATCAGCAGTCCGTCCGTCCATCCATCCATCCATCCAACATGACAAGTGGGGTTGTTTTCCACCATCTCTTGTGCTCTCTCCTGCTGTGAAAAGGGCTTTGACCATTACCAATAACCCTCCATCAGACCTTGGGGTTTTTTTCCACCATTTCTTGTGCTCTCTCCTGCTGTGAAAGGGCTGTGACCATTACCAATAACCCTCCATCAGACCTTTGTCTTCCCAGCAACTGCTGAGCTAAGGAAATATTTCCAGTACTAAGGAAATTCTTCTCAGATGAGGTTGGTAGTGGTGTGGACACCATCACATTCCCATGGAATACATACGTTGTTACACTGGGAACTACCTTTGTGCTTAAACCACCCCTTATTTTCCAGTAGGACAGCATGGCAGGTGTCCTCTGCTGAAGTCTGGTGTTGGGCAACAACTGCACAAAGCCCCTTGAGTTCTTGTGCCACTGCCCTTGCCAGGTGTAACGTGTGTGAGAGAGTTCTGAGAGATTCCTTCCCGTTTCCTTCCAGTTTGGTTTTGAAAATGATGGGCAGTGTAGAGCTGAGGACAGGTCCTTAGAAGACCCAGCTTCTGCATTGAAGGGATAGAGAGATGTGCCTTGGGATAAAGGGATGTGCCTTGGGGCTCTGCTCCCATCCAGAAAACACCAGCTGAGGGTGGCTGGGGCTGGGGATCTGCTTGTTGAGGGGGCACTGCTGCAGGGGGTCCCACCATTGCCTGCTCAAATCACATCCCAAAGTTATTCCCTGCCCACGGTGGGGGTTAGAACCTCATGATGTTTACCTTCTAACCTGAACCATTCCGTGATTCCAAGTGGAGCAAGTCCAATGTGCTGGGCAGTCCTGGGAGTGGGGACTGATCCTGATTGGAGCTGGGACTGATCCTGGTCAGAGCTGGGAATGATCCTGGCTGGAGCTGGGACTGATCCTGGTTGGAGCTGGGACTGATCCTGATTGGAGCTGGGACTGATCCTGGTCGGAGCTGGGACTGATCCTGGTCAGAGCTGGGACTGATCCTGGTCGGAGCTGGGACTGCCCCAGCTGGGCTCCTGGGAGTCTTGGCTGTGTGACGAGCCAGGCTCCTGGGAGGTGAGGGGGGTCACGGGGGTCTTGGGCCTTCCTCATCTTTGGGGAGAGCATTTCCCCTTTGAAAGCAGCTGGTGGTGCTGGGCGGTGGGACGGGCAGTGGGGCAGCTCAGCGGGGCTGGAGAGGCTCGAGGCTCGGGGGTCTGGGGGGCCCTGGGGGTGCCCGGTGCTGCTGCAGCCCCGGCAGCAGACGGGCCTGGGGTGAGGGCTGTGCTGTGCAGCAGGGCTGGGTGGCCCCGTTGTCACCCCC